TCATATCATTGTAAAGGTGGGTGAGTGCAGAGTGGAGACTCAAAGCCCATTGGTAGGCAACTGGACACCCCCTTACTGAAGGAGTGTGGAGAGGAGAGGAGCCAATCAGGGTGCAAGGTAGCAACGATGAAACACACAACTTTCCTCTAGTTCTTGAATGCTTTCTCCGCCCCACTATCATGATCCCAATTCTACCTTACAAATCTGGCTAGACCAGAGGATGTACAGATAGGAACTGGAAGCACAGGGAATCCAGGACAGATGACTCCTCAGGATCAGTGGTGAGAGTGGCGATGCCTGGAGGGTGGAGGGAATGTGGGGTAGAATGGGGAAACCGACTACAAGAATCTACCTATAACCTCCTCCCTGGGAGATGGACGGCAGAGAAGGGGGGGGACATTGGACAGTGTAACTTATGACAAAGCAATAATAATTTATGAAGGGTTCATGAGGGAGGGGAGAGTGGGGAGGGAAGGGGAAAATGAGCAACTGGTATTAGGGGCTAGAGTGGGAGGCAAATGTTTTGAGAATGATGAGGGCAATAAATGTGCTTGACACAATGGATGGATGTATGGATTGTGATGGGAATTTTGCGAGCCCCCAATAAAATATTTTTTTTCCCCAATAAAATAATTTTAAAAAATAAAATAAAATAAAAATTTTTAATGGAGCACCATCTTATTTGATCTCCCTTTTGACCTATTTTAAAGTTCTTTCCATTAAAAAAAAAAGTGGAGGGAAATGCATGTGGCTGAAGCCTCGGGTGAATGCCCATGGACCTTAGACCAGGGTGTGAACAGCCTGGCTACCGGGCAGCATGCATCGGAAAGTGGATTGTTGCAGATGCAGTCAGCTTAAAATTGAACCCCTTCTCATTTGGTCTTTCCTTTGACCCATTTTAAATTTGTTCTGGTTTTTCATATTTTCTGCCCACTTTTCAATTGAGTTTTTCCTCTATTTTCCTTCGTCCTCGGTGTTGGGTTTTTTGTTTTTTTTTCAATAAATTTTTTTAAACATTTTATTAGGGGCTCATACAACTGTTATCCCAATCCATACACACATCAATTGTGTAAAGCGCATTTGTACATAATTTCTCAAGGTGTTGGGTTTTTGCTTCGTTCGGGGTACATGTTTCGGTCTATGAAATCCAGGATAGGAGTTGTATGAGCCCCTAATAAAACGATTAAAAAATACTAATAAATAAAAAGTGATCATTCTAATACAAATTAAAATGAGAAAAAAAGACCTCTAAGAGCCCTCAGTAAAATGATATTTTCAATTGCCTAAAAAAAAAAAAAAGAAATCCAGGCTAGGTAAATCTATAGCATCCGTAATTGGATGAATGGTTTCTTGGGGTTATGGCATGGGGGTTGGGAGGAAATGGGGAGCGGCTAATGACGATGAGTACAAGAAAGACGAACATATTCTAAGATTGATTGTGGCGATGATTGGGCAACCCTTCTTAAGGTGAGTGAACGACTGCACTGTGTGATATGTGAATGCCGGAGACCAGCTCCGGCGTGTTCCTCACAGAAAGCTGAAGTTGGGTGAGTGGTCTTGAGAAAAAAGAGACTATAGAAAAGTAGGG